TTTCTAAATTGAGAGATAATCCTTTGGGAATACCGCCAAAGTCTTTAGCAAAAAGTAGCGAACAAAAAATGTATGGCGCACTTTTTGATTGGTCCAGCGGATGCTGAGCTACTTTAGAAAACAAATTTGGAAAAAATTGACAAAAATTAAATTTGAGAGATAATCGTTCTGGAATACCACCAAAAAAATAGTCAAAATGTTCTGAACAAAAAATGTATGGCGCACTTTTTTATTGGTCCAGCGGATGCTGAGCTACTTTAGAAAACAAATTTGGAAAAAATTGACAAAAATTAAATATGCAAGATAAGCGTTCCAGAATACCGCCAATAAAATAGGGAAAAAGTTTCGAACAAAAAATGTATGGCGCACTTTTTGATTGGTCCAGCGGATGCTGAGCTACACTCAAAAACATTTTGGAAAAATTTTCAAAAAATTAAATTTGAGAGATAATCGTTCGGGAATACCACCAAAAAATAGTCAAAATGTTCTGAACAAAAAATGTATGGCGCACTTTTTGATTGGTCCAGCGGATGCTGAGCTACACTCAAATAAACTGGGGAAAAATTTTCGAAAAAAAAAATTTGCCAGATAATGACTCGGGAATAATGCCAAAGAATTGAGCAAAATGTCTCGAACAAAAAATGTATGGTGTACTTTTTGATTGGTCCAGCGGATGCTACGCTATGTAACAATAAATTTTGGATTTTTGAAAAAAATTTTCGATTTTTTCAATTTCAGAGATAATCCTTCGGGAATACCACCAAAGTATAACGCGGAAGTCGGGAACAAAAAATGTATGGTGTAATTTTTTATTGGTCCAGCGGATGCTGAGTTACACTCAAATAAAATCAGGATTTTAGAAAAAATTTTCAATTTTTTTTTAATTTGAGAAATAATTATTCGTAAAGTCTGAACCCGTGAGTTGCGAACAAAAAATATAATTTTAATAAAATTTTTTTCCTTGGTATTTATATGGAATTATTATAAGAATATAGGGAATATTTAATATCTGAATTATGTCACGAAATGAATAAAAAAAAACACACGTGTCAATCATTCAAATTTCGAAGAGAAGATAAGTGAATTACTACCTCTTGATTTTTTAACGCTTGATACAATTCACATAAAATTTCCACATTATCTCAGTAAAGTGATTAAAAAATTAATAATTGAAAACATTTGAAATAAATTCTACTCACTTACTTGCAGCAAGCTCCAATAAAATGTCATCCATTATCACATCACTTTACTCCGAAAGGCACAAAATGAAACTAATCGTATATGTAGAATGGTTTCGTCGATAGTGGTGAAGTTCATGTTTTCAAAATAAAATTAATTTATTTTAAAAAACATACTTGGTTCGTCGATATTTCAATATCTAGAAAAAAAAATATTAAAAATTCAGGTGTTAAAAAAAATAATTTTCGTAATTTTGTTTTTTTATGTAGGGAGAAAAAAAGGCCAAGATAACAGCAAAAAATTTTAAGCTACCTTTCAGTGAAAAATACTCTCTAAGGAATAAAAATTTTTTACTCAAAGCTTTTTATATTTACGTTGAATTTGCTTTTATAATAAAATATTTACTGAAACATAAAAATGTCCTTGAAGAAATGTGCCTCTCGACATGACATTTTGAAATTGATTTTTATTAAAATAATCTAAATTTAAAACTGGATTTTGTAAACATTAATAAAATGTTGCTTATTCATAAACAATAAAAATAATGTAAACAATAACAGAAATAATTTATTACAACGAAGAAAAATTTACTATTAAATATTTAGAAAAAATATAAATCAAATAATAAATTTAATATAAATATTTAATATTAATTAATTAGAAACGTAATTAATTTTTCACTGTAAAAAAGTTGTTCGAAATATGAAAGTTTTGAAAAAGTAATTAAATTCTTGTTTTAGCTTTGTTAAAATGATAATAAACGGAATTTTATTATTTTTTTTTCTTATATTTATAAAAGAATCTCGACTTTCGCTTGAAGAATGATGGATGGTATCTTTCTCCTTGTAATATTAAATTAGAAAAGACGATTTTAGGAACGTTGAAGGTGAAAAGTATTAATCGTTCAAGTTATATATCAATTGTTCATTACTTTTTTTCACTCTTATGAAATTGAGCAAAAATTTCTTGATCATAAATTAATTACATCAAAAGTTATAATATTGCTCTTTGACTAAAATATTTCATGAAGCTTTATTACCTAAACGCAACGCTAATGAAATTATTTAATTATCTTTCAAGTTTCTCAATTAAATGACTATATCATTATCGAAAAGTTGGCAATTATCGTTAATTAATAATTACACGGTTAATTATAATTATTTTCAAAATACACTAAACTGTATTTAAAACGATTTCAATTATCGAACTATTTATAATACATGGAGAGTTTTAATATATTATTGATCAAAAAACTTTATAATATACACTTGTAACTATTCGCGTTAAAATTATAAAGACTTTGATATTTCGTTCGAAAGATTGAGATTCTTTATTAAATTATAATTAATTAGCAATTTATAAAGGGCTTATTCATCTTTGACTTTAATAACTTTCAAGTTGTTATGTCCCATCAAAGTGAAATGAAAAATAAATTAAATTACAAAAATAAATTCTTACAAAAAAGTTAAAAATTAAAATAATTCCAGTTCTAATCAATTTAAAACTAAATTATTTCAATTTTTTTTTCTTTTGCAAAAAACAGTGATATGAATTAATTAATAGAAAAAAATTTAAAATGAAAAAATCCAGTTCATTTTTTTCTTAACAATTTTGTTAAAACAAAATTCTGCTTTATTCATTAATATTCTAGTGAGTTGAAATTTTAAATTTGACAAAATGGAAAGTTTTGCAGGGAATTAAATTTTTTTTTATAGAAATGTGTGAAAATAAATATGCACCAGAAATCTCTCATATTTCTTTTACTTTTTTTTGGTACCAAAAAAAAAATACAAGTTTCTTCATTACTTTCTTGAAAAGCCATCCAATTAAATGAAAACTCAACTGTACTAGAAATTTTTTTCTCCATACGATACGAATTTTTAAAAAACTTTTCAACTCTTTAAAGTAACCTATTTATGATTTCGTCAGGTGAACCTCAACAAGTTATAAATGTTATGTATTTCAAAAATAAATGAGAAATAATTATTAATTAATATTGAATATCAATATTATATAAATATTAATTAATATTCTGATTATTAAAAAAAAAGTAAAAAAATTGAATTTCATTCCTATTGAATAAAATAAATTTCATTAAAACTACGTTTATTTTGGCAACTTGAATCTTTTTGACATTTTTTATGTCAGCATTCAAAGTGTAAACGAAGTGCCACTGCCTGTGATGGAGATTGATACTGACATCCTTTCTCCAATAAGCAACTTGTCGAGGTCTCTACCTGTGAAATCTCAAGGGATTTCCAGAAGATATCTATTGCAAAAAAAAAAAAGCTCTCTGTTATTGGATTTCTCCCACTAATGGAAAACCCAAGGCAAAATGTACCGATTACATTTGAACTTTAAAAAAAGAATAAACAAAAACTTTTGTATCACAGAAAACTTTCTTTCAAAAGAATTTTAATTGCCAATTTCAATAATAAAAAAAAGAAATAAATATTTGTATTTTTGTTATTATTTTAATACATTTAAACTAACAATAACAAATATAAATAAATATTTATTTATATTTTTTATTGTTATAATTAAAAATAAATAATAATAAATATCAGAGAAATAACAATGATTATTTTTTTAATACCCCAGGGGACCATCATATAAATATAAATAATGTCGAAAAAAAAACACTGCACTTAATTACATGTACGGGATTTATCAACCGAATATGATTATAGGTACGCAGATTCTAATTAAATTTTTATAGATGCTTTAATCCAGCGTCGGTGAGAATTTCTGTTTCATGCATAAACTAAATGCAAAATAATGTTTAAAAAGGCGATAATTAAAAAGCAACGTACAGATTTAAAAAAAAAAAAACATTCTCGATAAATTTCGGAATTGAAAAAAGGAAGTTATTGGAATATAATAGGAACAGCAATTATTATTTTTTTAAAAAATCCATTAAGAGGATAATATTAATAATTTGCAATAAATTTCATTTTATTGAATTCATATCTATATATTCAGATAATTTTTCAATATTATTCGACGTACATTATTTTATTTTCCATATCAATTAATTTTTTCAATAAACTTTGTTCTCTCTTTAAAAAAGTATATTTTAATATACTTTGAATAAGTAATAAATTTTTTATGCAATATTTCTAAATAATATATTATCTTTCATGTTTAAAGTATACTTTCCAAATGTATTCTATTTTTTTTTTTTAAAGGAAATTTTTCTTTCTTTTCTAAGAAAAATAATATATTTAATATTTATCGGAAATATTTTTTTTTCTTTCATATTTAATAATATTAAATGAGGCCAGTCCAATTATATTTTTTCATTAATTCTAAATTTTTTTTTTTTTATTTAAAAATTTAATCTTATTTGAGAATAAACGATTGGATATAAAATGAAATCGAGACTGAAATAGACAAATATTTTGCTAAACAAAATATCCTAATTGCTTCGTATTTATAATAATCAACATAGAAAGAGAAATCGAAATTAAAAATAAAAACCGAAAACGCAAACCAAAGAATTTTAAAAAAATGTTTTTGTACCGAAAAATAAAATATTTATTTTTGTACAAAAATGAAAATTGTTCAAACCGAAATTACTATCAGGGAAAAAACCAATTTTTTCAAAATAAAAATTCAGTCAGAATAAATCAAAATAAAAAAAAAAAACTCGAAAAATTATGAGAAAAAATCAAAACCGAAGACATTCGGTAACTGTAACTGAAGACAAAAAGAAATCATGAAAAAAAGGAGTTTTACTTTGAGAAGAAAATAAAAAAGTAAAAAAATTTTTTTTATGAAAAAGATTAATTTTTGGAAAGAAGACTTTCTACGATGAAAAACACTTTTAATTGTATATTGAAAAAAAATAAGATTTAAGCAAAACTCAAAGAATTGCTCATACTTCCGGAACGTGTTCGTGGTACAACTTGATCAGAAAAACGAATATTTATTTGCGTGACTGCCATATTTCCAGTGAGAAATTGGGGTAAAGTATTCACACCATCTCCTGGTCTGCGGTCAAATGGATAACCCATAGGACGTGCATCCGGATATTTGCTGTCTCTTACACCACAGAAACTTGCTGCATCATTGCAACTTCCGACTTCATTTTGCATAACCTGAATATATTTTTTATTTTCAATTTTTTTTCCCTATGCTAAATATTGGAAAAATTATATGTATAAGCAAAGAAACAAAAATTTAAAAAAAAAAATATATATATTTATACTTGCAGCAAAAAATATTTTTAAAAAATTTAAAAAACATTTTTTTTAATCCGAATTATCAAACTAAAATAAGAATTATATGCAAATAAATAGTAATTAATTATCTTTGATATCATCGTTTTCTCTGATAATTATATTGTTAAAATTTTTGAATAATTTATCATTTAGAAAATAAATACCTCGTCGCCTTGAATGTTGGAAACCATGACAAATAAGTCCATGGGATAACCACCTTTGTTTCCTTTTGGTATCAGCATATGTTGTGGCCATCCACATCCACACAAGTTGAACTGTTCTAAAGCTTGTCCGCCACTTGGTCTATTCTGATCATCAATATTACGGAAAGTTCTCTCGAAGGGAATTGTTACCGAAGACTGGGTAGAATTTCGTTCAACTCTGTTTTCTCCAGGTTTCACTATACAAGAAAATACATCAGTAATTTAATTATTTTCTTCATTTTTCACTTCACTAATATTAATGATGAAATAAACCAATTAAAAACTTCTTTCATTGTATAAATAATAAAATAGAGATATTAAATTATACTGAATAATTTTAAAATAATGATAATAACATTAATTTTTATTATAAATTAATTAATTCAATAAAATATTAAATAGATCACAAAGATATAATTATAATAAATAAAATATATTACTAAAATAAATCAAATGTTCTTAATTCTGAAAATATCATAAAAATCATATTTATTCAAATAATAATAATAATGATCGTGTCAAAAAAGAAGGTATTAATTTTAGCGATATGATCTAATGATTTATTCATCAAGCACCGGAATAATATAGTGAAAAATTTATAAGTCCAGCAAAAATATTATCGTTACGAATTTTTATTTCCGAATCGTCTGGATTATTTATAGTATTTTGATAATTTGTATTTAAATTTTTAATGAAATTTGTTTTCCGTGTTGTATTAAATTTACATTTTATTTTCGAATTCATTTTATTTTTAATAAATATTCGATAGTAAATTGTGCATTAAATTTACCTTTTATAGTCTGATTTATTGTTTTGTAATTATTGAAAATTTATTTATATTATTTGCTATTTAAATATCGAAATTTATATTTTAATTCTTATTCATAGAAATCTCACGTAAAGTTTCATATCGCTTTTAGAAACACATGTTTTTAACGACGAGAATACGCTTTTTAGGATTTTTTTTTTTTTTTTTTTTTTTTTATCAAATCCAAAGTGAACCTTTATTTCAACAGGATAATAAACCCTGTTTCGACTCAGTGAGCACGTCGAATAAAACTTGTTTGACAGATTTCCGAATTGAAATTCTTGTTTTATGTGTGGAAACAGTAAAGAATTAGATTTTTCTTTTGACGCTGATATCCTTGATATTTTGTGAACAATTTCAAATGATCATAAAAATATATAAAACATATATATATTTTTATTTGTCATTAGAATTTTATTTTCTTTTGTTATTACTTTGAAATCGAATTTTGTTAAAAAAAAAAGAAAACAAAAAGTTAACAGTTAAATAAAATCTAATTTTTAATAAATAAAAATGCAATAAAATAATTTTAACTCACGTGATACTTGGAATTTATCCATTTCGATCATCAGACCTCTTTGATTTTCCAAAGTGAATGGAAGTCCTCTTTCATCCAACTTTGGGGCCATAAAAATTCTCACAGTACCCCGTTTAATGGCATTCGTTTTATTGTTTACGACAATATTGTATTTGAAATCAGCATGATTTAAATGTGTGAAGCGAACGAAAATTGGTCCACGGGGTGTGAAGTCCATACCACGTGACAAATCAACGTCACTTTTTGTCCAATAAGTCGATAAAGTATTGACTGGTACATTTGGAGCTTGAACTCCAATTCCTTTAATTTCCACTCCCGGATAATCCAACTAGCAATTAAAGAAAAAAAACAATTAAATAATCTCGAATAGTTTTTAATTTTTCAATATTTATTTATATGCAAACGAATTCAATATTTATACCTGTTGATTACTGTACGGTTGCAAATTTCTCTTGTGTTCCATAAAAACTGTATTCACAAATGCGTGATAAGCAAAGAATATTGGATCTCTCATTGCGGTGGCTGGATCTCCCATTATACTGAAAGATTCCTAAAAAATAAAAAACTTTTTTTAAAAATATTTAAGGGAATTTTTTTTATTTTAGTGCCATAAAAATGCGTACCATTTTATAACACAAAAAAAATAGAGTGATAAATTCACTGAATATTTTTAAATGCAAGTATTAACGAAGAAATATTTTTACGTCAATTTAACTGTTCAATAAAATTCAACTTGTTTTCTAGATTTTTTTTTTTTGGCATGGAAATTGGATTTGCTGCGACTATCAAAGCCAAAGGCAACATGTCAATTGACCACGAAATAACAGGTGTCGCTTCAGTTTGCCGTTACTAAATGCTTTTTTTAATCAATTTTTTTTTTTTTTTTTACTGTTTTTAAATAATGCGCGTAAATTTTTGTAATTATTTTTTATTCCATAAGTTAAAAAAAAAGAAATTAGAAGAAAAATATAAATAAAACGTTGACAATTGAAATTTTCTCCAAAAGAGATTAATTTCACCCTTGGAGTAGAATTTAATTCCCCTTATTTATGAACCTATGGTAAATAAAAATTCTTACCAAATAACGATGATCAGGATCGTGGGCGAATGAAATTGCCACGTGGCCCATATTATGAAGGTCACCATAAAGTTTCGAATTTGGACTGAGAATTGAGGACTCCATTAAATTACCAAGAATATCGATACCATCCTTCTCAGTTAAAGGAATTCTATCTCCTTTATCATTGACAACGGCACCAGTATGAATTGCTTCATAAATTCGATCTCTAAATCTTTCCAAAGTTTGAATGTCAAAGTTCACTTGATCCGCCTGTCTACTAATGTCCTTAAGAATTGTGCCACTAGGACGTGCTGGCCATGTTCTGCTTGCCACTTGTGAATCCAATTTTGGAAAATAACCCTCTGGAATTGGTTCCCGCCAATTGTTGAAACGTCTCACTTGACTTAAATTATTAGACAAACGCTCTGCGTTGTACCTGTCGAGAGAAAACAAAAACAAAAAAAAAATAGCAAAGAAATGAGAAAATAATCCATCATTGTCAACCACATCTGGTATTTTAAACTATTTTTTTCTTTTATTAAATTAAATTCCCAAATATATATGTTGTTTTTTAAAATAACAAAATTCGTGTTTACATTTTATTATTTTTATTTTTAATTCAAAGGATTAATTTTTAACCTTAGGGAATAAAATAGTCATTTTCGGATACTGCTTTGAAAAAATTATAATTATATAAGCTTAATTATTACTTTCAAATATTGAATATACTAATTTTTGGTTTCACAAATTTCAAAGTTGAGAGAAATTTGAATATATAGTTTGTTCGCAAACGTAATGTATAATACGCCTAGAGTGGAATTAAACTCGAGTACATATTGGTTAAGAGGAAGTTAATCCCGAAAGATTCGATACTTGCAGTCTTGTGGTAAAATGTATTATCAAACAGCAATCTAATACGAATTTGCTCTGTTATGATCTCAATAATTTGGAAAGTTTCGATTAAAATTAATAATTAACCATAATGAACCATATTAATATAAAACTAATTCACTATATTTTTTAATTTTAATTCAAATCTATATAATTTATATTTTATAATCAATAAATAATTCACTTTTTTATTTAAAAAAAAAACCATTATGAAAATTAACAATTTTATAAAAAAAATCGCATAGAGATAAATTTTAATGTAAAAAAAATTTTTTTTGTGTCAAAAAAAAAATGCAAGAAATTATTAATTGTTTGAATCATATTAATGAATACAAGTGGTGTGTACAAACCTGGCTTGCATTTGCTGATGCATATAATAGAACAGTTCACCTCGTCTATCTTTGTTAACTATTGACCTAGGACCATCAAAGGGATAAACTAGATGCCAATGCCAATGATGGAGATTGATCCCAATATCTTCTCGAAAATAGGCAACACGGTGCTCTTCATCGAGATCTGATGCTGTATAATCCAAAGGGATTTCAATTGGTATCTGTGTGTGTATATATAACAAAAATTAGCAAATATTATTTTAAATTTAAAAAAAAAAAATTATTTAATAAATAATTAAAAATATTAAAATTGTTATATTTATTAAATAATAATTTTTACTTACACGAGCTCCTGTTGGAACAACATTGGCCTCCTCCTTGGCTCTTGAGAAAACAGATCCGTCCACAAATTTATCGGGAAAAATTTCCGAAAGTGGAGGAACTGGTAAATTTTTTGTATCCTGTCGATGAAGAATTGCCACCGATAAGGCATAAATAAACATATTTGGATTCAATCGATCACGACAATAAACAGCCACCGAAAGAAAATCATCATAAGTTCGTAATTCTACACAAAAAAAAAAACAATTCTTCAAATCAATAAAAAAACAAATTTAATAAAATAATAATAAATTTAACAAAAATAAAAATCCGAATTATAATCTCAATATATTTAAAAATAAATAAAATATATTAGAATTATTTTATTCTAATTCTACAATAATTCGGATTAATATTTTTGAAAAAAGAAAAACTTTTTATATAAAACAAATAACATCAAAGAAAACGACAAAACTTATATTCAATACACCAGAATCTTAATTAGAGAAACAAAACGCTTTTAACTATTCAAATATATATATATATATATATATTCACAGACTCATTAAAATCCCGTCTTTTGTGATTTATTGCAATAACAGAGTTAATTATTTTTTTGAAAAAAAAATTCAGTTAATTAACACGTTACGCAAAAGTTGATCAAATAAACAATGTTAATATTATTTTCAAGTTACATAATTAATGTACCTATATCTAATTATAGAAAATGCATGATTAATGTATTTATATTTCATTTAAATTAATTAATTTAATTAATGTTTATTTGTAAAAGAAAGTTAGTATTAATTTTTTGAAAATAATTATAAATGATTTGATTACCTAAAAAAATGTTTACTGCTAAATATACAAAGAAAAAAAAAAAAACTTTGAAAAATTTCATTTTTACCCAGCAATTGGATTAAGTTAAACCATTAAATAGAGTGGAAATTTGTCGAGTGCGGAATCGCTGAAACGATTTTATTAAAAAATTGAATTTGTCACTTGCGCCTCTGTGACTCCTGTAATCGTGACTTCAATCGTGACAAATTGAGGAGTTCAATTAAATTGCTTGACGTCAATTTTTCTAGCCGGAAGTTTGTAAATATTAAACAAGAAAAAAAATAATTTTTTTTTTACCATAATAACTGGTACTTAAGTTTTTTAATATTTATTTCAATATAAAAAAAATATTTTTAAACTGATTAAGTTTATATTAATTTTATATGAAGTTTATAATTTAAGTAAACGTTACAAAATTTTTATTTGAGTTAAATAATCGGTTACTTAACTATTATCAAATAAATATTTAGTAGAACCAAATAAATATTTACATGAATCAAGTAATTTTTATTTGAATTAAATATTTGATATTTCTGAATTTGAAACAAAAATCTTTAGGTTGTCTCAAATAATAATTAATACAAATAAATATTTATTCGATATAATAGTCAAATAATAATTGATTATTTGAATTAAATAAAATTTTTAGTTTTAGTTTAAAAGTTAATTTCTGATTTTTTTTTTAAATTAATTCCTGTCATATAATATTTCAATTAAAGAAAATATAATAAATTGTAATTAAAATAGTATTAGATTTTTTATTTAAATTTGCTGTTTTTGAAATTCAAATTGTCGATAAAAATGTTAACTGTTGAACAGAAGCGGAAAAATGATATAAAATAAAAAGAAAAAATTACGTACGTGTAAAAATTTCGATCAATCTCGCAGCCATGGTACGATGATAGGGCAAAAAAAGTGAAAATTGTTCACGACGACCTAATTGCATTGGAACTCTTAAATCTGGAATTGAGATATTCTTCACAGGGATCTTCAACTTTGTATCGTCATTATATCGAGTAAGTACTTCCGTAGCCACATTTCGATACTTTTCCGGCTGTCAAATTTTAGAAAATGTTTCTTTTATAAAAGAAAAAAAGTTAAACTTAGAATTATATTTTTTTAAATGTAAAAAAAACTAGAAGCAAATAAATAATTTAAAAAAAAAATGAAAAATACAATTTTAAAAATGTTACAGAATTTTTTTTTTTGCATTGAGAAAAATGAGATAAATTAAGAATAATTTCTTGTTAAATAATTAAATTTCCAATAAAGAATTTTTAATTAATTGCATTATTTGAAAAATATTTTCTAAAAATTAATTTTAAAATTTTATAATAATTATTCTATTTACCAAATAATTTGGCGGTATATCAAAGGCAACACGTTGCTCTCCTTTCGGTATATAAACAGGTTCAGCAGGTCGATCGAAGAGGTAAAGAATTGAAGAATTATCAGAAGCCATATCGAGAATCGATTTGTCTTAAATATGTCAGTTAAATATTTGAAAAGCTTTTAACTCGCCAATGTAAAGAGCAAACCGTTCAACTTAAGAAACTTTTGAGAGCTAAAAAAAAAGAGAATTAAACTTTTTGCACACAAAAATAGAAATTCGAAAAATATAACAAAAAATTCTTTTAACTAAAATAAAAAAATAAAGAAATCTACAAAAAAAAAAAAGGCAAAGAAATTTTCTACTCTTCTCTTGCGAATAGAACGTGAAATGGTAGAGAAAGCCGAGCTTAATTCCGAATTTATAAGGGAATTTACAGGATACAGTGGTTTCTCGATAAAGCGCTCCAACGGAGACAAACACACACCACAAATTCCGGCAATTGTCTTTCTTATTTTTTCCCGTTTCCACCAAAAAAAAAAATCTCCACTGAAATCGTTAATGAAAGAAACGGATGTTTTTTCGGTTGACAATTTTTTTCATTCGCTTTTTTAATTAACCACAAACGCTTTTAATAGAATTTTTTTAGATTAAAATTTTTTAAAAATGGTAATTTTTTTTTTTTTTTTAATTAATTTTGACAATGAAATTTTTTTAGAAATGCAAAAAAATATATTAAAAACTTTTTCTAGTGCAATAATGTATTCTATTAAAACATTGTCACATCTTTTGGTCCTGTGACTCTCATAAACGTAATTGCGAGAAACGTCATATTATAAGAGCAATTTTCCCCGTATAATATTAATGGAACTTGTAATTAACTATATATAATTAAATTATGCAAACATAATTAATTAAGTCAATGACTTGAAAAAAATCTTTTAAATTCATATTCCAAAAGAATTCAATTTAAATAAATATTAATTAAATTTATAATAAAGTGAACTTACCTATTTTTTAGTCCCTCGCGATTGATGTACTTTTCTTCCTGCATACAATTTAAAAAAATTGAACGAAAATCAATCTATAAAAAACCAAAAACAAAATAAAAATTATAAATTGTTATAAAAAGAATAATAGTATAATAAAATAAAAATTATAATTATAATAATAATAAAATAATAATAATAATAATATTAATGATAATAAAATAATAATAAATGATAATAAAGATAAAAAGGATACAGGATTTTTGCGTTTAAAAAGTTGGTAAATGATATTTTTCATTATGATGAGGAAAAAAAAGCGGATGCACGATAAAAGAGCAAGATTAAATTTGGACCATTTTTTTTCTTGTGAGTGAATAATGACACGAAAATTTTATCACAACACGTTTATGCGCTCAAATACACTTTATTTTTATTTATTTATTTTTTTTTTTTATGAAGCACCATACAATCTCGATGACATTGGTTAATCAATAATCGATACTGATATGTGTGTGATTATTTTACTACACTTCAGTGCATCAGTCAATTTTTTTTTAATAATAATTTTTTTTTTTACTTTTTGAAATTTGTTTCTCTTCATGTATGTAATACACAAGTTTCATGAAATTGCGTGTGTCAATTATTATTACAATAAAATACATACGTATGTACAGAGAATATATATATATTTATATATAGTACCCAGTAATTGCTTTTTTTTAATCCATATTTTTTTTTTATATACACAAAAAGTTAAACCTCTTTTTTTTTTATTATATCCATTTATTTTCTATAATTGGTGTCGTTTTTTCGATTTTTAAAAATATCTTATTAAATAATTGAAGTTTTTAATAAAAATAAAAAAAATGCAATATTTGAAAATTAAGTTTTTAAATTGTTTTAAATTTAATTTCCTTATGTGTAAAATTATTTTATTATATTTTTTAAACTGAATTCTATAAATTTATTTAAATGAAAAAAAATTTTTGATTAAAAAATGAAATTTTTTTTTTAATCATATAAAATGTGAATATTAAACAAATGTAAAAAAGAGATCGTCTTGACACACAACTGAATCACAATTTGTGTGCATTGTAGAACCTCCTATCCATTTTCCGTGACAATTTTCGTGCGTTGTCGTTGACAATTTCCACCTTCCAATTCCAGTAAGATCGTGTGTGTTTCCTTTATTGTGACATCTTGTCTTATTTCCATCCTCCCGACACACGACACAGGCGTGTGATCCTAATTAATCAAGCAGAAATATACGTATTTCAAAGTATAAAGGAAAATATTTTTCCTTTTTTTTTTTTTTTTTTTTGGAAAATAAATATTTCTTTGAAAAAAATTGAGTACAATAAATAAAAGAAAGACACAGGCAGACAAATAACATTTTCACAATTTATGCATTCTATAACCGTTATAAAAAAATCAATTTTGTGTCATTTTATTGTCCCCAAAAAAAATATTTTTTTTCTCAGAGGTAAATAAATATTTTATTGTTTTAAATAAATATTTAACTCACAGCAAAATATTTATTTCAAACAAATAATCATTTAAGAAAATATTTATTTAAAACAAATAATTATTTAACTCTCTCGGTAAAAAATATTTTTTATTAACAAAAAAAAAAAACCCAATTTAAATTTATATTGTTTAATTTTAATAAATTGAATATATTAAAATGGACGTTTGGCAAAGTCGTTAAAGTGTCCCTTTTTATGAGCCATGCAGAAGCAATTAAACACTAGTTTAGTGAATGTTAATTTTGAGATAAGAGAACGTTTACTGAGAATTGTACAGTAAATTCTAAGGATACAAACATGCAAACGAGGAGGCAGAAATGCAATGTGCACTAGTTTCGATGTCTCGAAATAAGCCCTCTTGACCTCAACTCTAAAAAGAGAGTCCAACAAACACTTGCTTGTTTTCATTTCAAACAATCTTTGTCAAGAATCCTTCTTGACTTTATTATAATGAATTTTTCAGTCTCCATTCACTCGTTACCTTTCATTTTTCTCCCATTCAAAAAAAAAAAAAAAAAAAAAAAAATTGTTATAATAATAAAAAAAAAATACTAACAATACAATTTTTTCCTTTAGTTTCAAAGAGTTTTTCTCCATAAAAAACAAATCAAAGAACTGCTTCAATAATATAAAAAATTTCCTCCATCACAAAAAAAATTTTTTACATTTTTTCTATTTGAAATACTATTTCTTCAATTTCAGGATTTTATTATTATTATTGTTATTTGTTATTACTATAATTTATTACTTATATTATTATTATTTGTTACTATTATAATTTATTATTATAATTTATTATTATTATTATTATTATTATTATTATTATTTATTACTAGTATTTTTCTTTAATTAAATTACACTCAAAAAAAATTTTATTTGATTCAAATACTTGACTATTATCAAATAAATATTTATTTGTATCAAATAATTATTATTTGAGTCAAGTAATCAAGTATTTGAATCAAAAAAATTTTTTTTTCAGTGTAAATTAATTATATATAATTATATATAAAAGGAAATAATAAAGTATCTTTTAAATATTGTTTTCGAATTTAAATATTCTTTAAATTGAATGGTAATTAAAAAATAATATTTACCTTCGGTGAGTGGTGCGTACTCTCGACTACAAGTTTTGGAGACCCATAGAATGGTGAAAATGGCACAGTGTCTGAAAATTAAACAAAAGTGAATTATATAATAAATTGTTTAATGGTAATTTTTATATTTTCAAATATATATGACAATCAAAATAAATTTTATATATAAAATTTATAAAAAAAAATATAAAAATTTATTTTATATATATATATATATATATATAATAAATTTTTTTTTCTTTATATAAATAATATCAGTAAATTCGCGAGCCTGATTACAATTCCCGAGTTTCTCTTCTATCTTCTACGATAGTAAATCGGATTAAAGCTTTCGATTCGCATCTGTATTTTCAATGATAATTTGCCGTTATCTTGCTAAATTTAACTTAATAGTACGACATTGCAAATAAATTCTAATAATCTTTTTTTTTTTTTTATCTATTTCAAATATATTGAGATTTTAAAAAATAAATTTATTTTATTTATAAATTTAATTTTTAAATTTAATTTTTAAATTTAATTAAAGTTGCATATAAAATTTGATAAAGAGAATAAAAAATGGAAGAAAAAGAAAAAAAGTGCATAAAACAAATTATTTATAGAGGTTAATTATATGAAATGTTTAAAAGGTTCATTTGCATTCTCTTTTGCATGTAGATAATCGCCATTAATGAGAATTTGATGAAGACTTTGATCGATGTAGAGAAATTCGATTTTCAAGGAAGATGGGAAAGGGTTTGTTCGTAGGTGAGTAAACTCGAGTTTATACTTGATCAACCGCACAACTCTTGTCGAAGTCAAACTCGACTATTGGCTGCTAACATACATACATATACGCGAAACCCAATTCCTTACACACTATTGACCAACGTATAGACCATTAATCGAGCTGTTGTTATGCCAAGCACAACGACTATGTTTATCTGTCGACATATGCTTACATACTCAAAATCGACCAAAACAATACTCCAATTTCTATACATATGTATAGTATCAATTCATTTTTAAACATTATTCTCAATATTAATCAAAATTATTACAATTATTTTAATACTAGCAAAATTAAACGCGCGCAAGCGCGTCAAATTGACTATTTAATTGTTTGTTATAAAGAAATTAAACATTAATATTATCAATAATAATTTAATTTATTAGAATATTATTACATATCAAATGATAATAATGAAAATTATATGTTTACAGGCCTCGGATTATACGACTTTTTCCGACTTTTTTCAAAAATACGACTTTTATCGACTTATTTAAAATGCGACATTTTTTTTACATTTGAAAAAAAATGTAAATAAAATACATTTTTTTAATATAAAATGTAGATCTTCTTCAGATCTTCCTCAATTCAATTATTTAACAAATTTTAAACTAAAATGATTCTTCACTAAATTAATTATTTTTAATAATTTTAATGAAATACATCACAAATTCAATTATATCAAAATTATTTTTCAATTAAAATTTTTATGAAATTTAACAATTGTTTATAATTAAAAAAAAAAATATCACAATAAAATTGAATTATTTTTTAAAAATTTCAATTCAAAATAAACTACAATTCAATTCTATTCAAAAATTTAAATTCTAAATTAAGTAAAATTCAATTTTTTTCAAAAATTACAATTCAAAATCAATTAAAATTCAATTATTTTCCAAATTTAAATTCAAAATCAACTAAAAGTTAACTAAAATACAATTATTTTTCAAAATTTTTATTGAAATTCAAATATTTTCAAAATTTTACAAAATTTTAATTCAAAATAAACTAAAGTTCTATTATTTTCAAAAATTTCAATTCAAAATAAACTAAAATTCAATCATTACCCGAAATTTTAATTTAAAATCAATTAAAAATCCAATAATTATCCAAAATTTTCAATTTAAAATTTAATTATATACCAAGTTTTCAATTTAAAATGAAATAAAATTCAATTATTTTCTAAAATTTCTATTCAAAATTAATTATCCAAATTTTCAATCAAAAATGAACTTAAATTAAATTATTATCCAAAATTTCAATTAAAATTCAATTATTTCCCAAAATTTTCAATTCAAAATGAACTGAAATTCAATTATTTTCGAAATTTAAAATCAAATAAAATTTCACTATTCACAAAAATTTGAATTCAAAAGTTATTGAATTTTCAATAATTTAAACTTAAAAGCATCTAAAATTTAATTATTTCTAAAATTTTCCATCGATAATTTTTTTTTTGAAATTCAATAATTTCAATTATAACTCTAAGGAAATTCAATTCATTTTAACTATTTTAATAATATTCTTTGAAATTTCAACTATCTAAAAGTATTTTTCAATTAAAAATGATTTTCAAATTATTGTATTTTGTCCGCATTTTCTAATAAATTTTTAGTGAAATCATCTAAAATTTTAATTAAAAATCACTTAAAGTTTCAATTAATTTCAAAAATCTCAATTTTAAATCTTTGAAAATTCAATTAAATTTAAAAAATGTTTTCCAAAAATTGTTTGATAAATTATTTTTAGTTCTGTAAAATTTAATAATTGTTTGAAAATTAACAATATTTTTTTGAAATTTAATTATTTCTAAAAATTTCAACTTTAACCCTTTGAAAAGGATAATTATTAAAAAAATATTTTTATTTAAAAATCTGTAAAATATTTTTGTTAAAATAAAAAACAAATCCACTTTTTTTTGGAATATAAATCGACTAAAACGACTTTTTGTGTCTTTAAGTTGATTCGAGGCCTGTGTTTTTATAATTAATATTTAATAGCTATTCGTTGGCCCTTGGTACCTTAAAAATTAATTTTTAAAAATAAATTTTTATTCAAATTACTATCTTGTACGAAATTTCCTGGCGCATCTTTTTTCTCATCATAAATTTTTTGCATTTGTATACAATTTTTGAATCAATATACAACTTTAAAAAAAATTTCGTTGGTAAACGTTGTGTACTTCAGCTTCGTGAATTGAATTTTAGAATTTGGAATTTTAAAGAAACTTATTCCGAAATTTGGAAACACAATTATACAACTTTGGCAAAAATGAGAAAAAGAATTGTCAAAATTTGACACGTCATAAGATTACTATTCAAAAAAACACGTGAAATCAGAAAAGGCCAACTTCAAGTTAGGACAGAAGGACAGACCAAGCATTTTATTATTATATATATAATTATCAAAAAATTTCACTCATTTCAATCAAATGATATTTGATATATAAATATTTAGTTGATAATAGTTAGGATAAGTGCACCAATTACGGTGCGTTCATAAAAAATAACTATTCTACAAAATGATTAAAAAAAATTATTTTAATCTTTTTTTGATACAATTACTATAATATAATAAAGATGCACATTTAAACAATTATTAATTTAATTATTTGAGATCAAATTTTTTTCCCTCGCCGTAATTGAAACATTTTTAAGATTTCCATTGGCTCCAATTACGGTGGGCAAAGTATATTCAAAATACACGTAATTTTGGTCACCGTAATTGATACACCGAAACTGATACAAACACGCCGTAATAGAAAATTACGGTATTGGTTTTAATTTCTCATATTTGTTTAAATAATTGATTTTTATAAAATTAACATTTTTTTAAAATATCTAAATAAAAAGCTTTTAGTTTAGTCTTAAATTGACTTTATACAATAGAAATGTCAAATTTTCTATTTCAAAGACGTTTTGACTCAAATCGCACTGTAATTTAACCATTCTCAATATTAATAAAAATATTCCAATTTTTTTTTATTTTAAAATAATTTCACTTAATTATGAAAATCAATTTTTATTTTCTGTTTTGAAAAAATTACTAATATTTGTAGTGATAATACTATAATTATATATAATTGTAATTAATCGAGCTAAATAAAACAAAAATAAAAAATTGATTTGAAAAAAATAATTTTGCAGTGCAAACAGTGAAAATTGATTGATTTTATTGTGAGGGATTTTTCTAAGTAGAAATGAGCATTTTCAGTGAGACAATAAATTTGTCAAGTAGTAGAAGAGTACGTCCAGTAGGACAGGAGTCGCTTTCCTAAAGTGGAAAGTGGCGTCTATAGACAGACACGATATTCATCGTCTAAAAGAAATAAGAAGCCAGATTTATTTTCTCTAAGTAGAAAAAGCGTCCAAAAGCAGACACAACATTTTCTCAACTGATTAATGTTTCAAGTGAAAACGTACGTCTTTAGTCAGACAGATACAATTTTTTAAATGAAAAAGACAGTTATTTATCGTTTACAAGTGAAATTAGTTTCTAAGTATAGTTTCATTTTTTAAATAGAAAAGATCATTTTTAAACAGACATTACCTAAGTGAAATAAGTAAAAAAGTTATTCAGTCAAAATATTTTTTAAGTTCAAAAAAAAGGATAATTTTTTTCGCTCTCTTTTGAATTATAATACAATTTTTAGCTAGTTTGAATTAGTGACTTACATTTTGCTTTTGAGTTAGTTAAATTTTACTAATTCGACAGCAAAATATTTTTTTTACCTATTAATTAATTTTTGTTTACTAATTATTACCATTTTTTTCTATTTATTAATTTTTTGCTTTTGAATTAGTTAAATTTTACTAATTCGATAGAAAGTTTTTTTACTATTTACTAACTTTTTGCTTTTGAATTAGTTAAATTTCACTAATTTGATAGTAAAAAATTTTTTTCTACCATAATAATTACTTAAATTTTACCAATTCCAAAGCAAAAAGTGTCACTAATTTAAATTAATTAAAATATTTACTAATTTAAATTTAGAGAGCGGAGAAAAATCAAATTTAAAAATAGATATTATTTTTTATAATATAATTAATAAATAAGCTCTATTAATTTTTTTTTAAATTACAAACACTTTTCATAGCAATTAACGCCCTACAAGTAAAAAGTATTATAATAACTCCTTATAATTAATTTCACTCTTCATAACTTATTGCCGTTTAATATAAATTTGCATTAAGAGTGAAAATAAGATATGTATCTTATACTTAAATTATTGTCGACATTTGCATATAATAATTTATGCTATCATATAAGGAGAAAGTAGAGTAGATGCAATATTACTCATTGTTTCTGAGATATATAAATGTAGAAAAATACTAGGTACGATTAATAAAAATCTGATAAGTAAATAATTAAAAATAAATTAAAGTCAAATAATAATTATTTTCAAATTTCATCTTCTTTCAATTAATTCGAAGAAAAATAAGTTTCACAGAAAAAACTTGGACTCATTTTTGTTGCAACTCATTTTCTTTTGGGTATCGAAATGAATATGGGACAAACTTCATGTTATTCAAAATGATATTGGCTGGAATTTCAGATTTCTAAGTTGGCATCATAAGCAGAGTAATTTTGTATTTCAATTATTGATTCTAATATTTCAACAACACCAGAAAGATTATTTTGACCAGTACGAATATTTAGAAGTTTTTAAATAAAAATTATTTATTATTATTTACGTAGATAATAATTAATTTCATAAGTTTTTAAATTTACCGCTATTATTTAAGTTGGCAGTACCGTTCCTGTTGTCAAAACACATGTTTTCATTTTTCTAACCTAAAAACATATTTCCTTTATTATTTTATTACGCGATTACAAGCAATTTTTTATCAAATATATTAAGTCTAGCGTGTTATTTACTTCTTTGTAATTATTATATTTCATGTTTTTGTGCAAAATTATTCGTTATTTCACAATATTTTTCCATTTTTCTTTTTCTCAAAATGAAACTTGCCTGTTTCATTTTGATACTTTTACCTTAGAACTCGAAATGAAACAACCAGTTTCATTTTTGTTGCGAATCAAATTGAGTATAGAATCTATACTCAATTTGAATTCAGGTTTTTTCTGTGTTTTTATCATTTGAATAAATTCAATCGATTAACATATAATTAATTAATAAAGAATAAATTAAAATAATAGTTATAATAATAATTATTAAAATATTATAATAAATAATATTAATATAAAAATATAGAAATAAATATAAAATATAATTTTAAATATAAATGAAAACATTTAGTTCGTGTAATTAAAATTAAATAAATATTCTTTGGCAAAATAATTTTCCGAATCCTTATCGCGAGAAATATTATAATTTATATATAATGTTACAAATCGCAATTCAATAGAATACCTTGAATAGTTTATATATTCGAAATTACAACCTTAATATGCATTCCTTGCCAAGTATTACAGATTTGCTGCAGACAAGGAAAGCTTTCAGTTCCAGGAAGATCAGCAGCTCTTTGCATATAGGTGTGTATATATGTGTGCGTTAGTTGTGAATTTAAACTAGTTGCTAAAATTTCTATTTCGCTTCACGGAACACCCAATAATATACAATAGCAATATTCAAAATTGTTCTTTAGAAACCTCAATGTGAAAATAATTCAACAATTATTTCAAAAAAAAAAAAAAAGAAAGAAAAAAAACAATGTTCAACTCTGGAGCTTCAAAACTTTTCATCATCATATGAAAAACAAAACAAAATTCTCTCTATACATATATATAATAATGAAAAAATCGCTTCACAAAATTCTGCGATTTTTTTTTTTTGCAAAACATTTTTTTTCTTTGTAAATACAAAATAACATCAAAATTGTTTTAAAAGTTCTTTTTTTCATCGCGGATTAGTTTACCAAAAATTGTTCAAAAATGGAAAAAATATATATAAAAATCCGATTAAAGTAAATTCTATACTATTTTTTTTTTTTGCAAAATACCAGCGAATATTTTTTTTGGCGCGTATTTATTTTATATTATTTTATTTACTACTATTATTTAAACTATTATATTATCACTATTATTTGTTACTATTTATTTACTAAATATTTAAAGAATTTTTAATTAATCAAATTTTTTGATACCGAATTTTTATTTGTCCGAAATTTCAAAATAGCCGAAAAAACAATCAACAGAAAGATTTCGGCGCGAATTTTAAAATCCACCAATCACAATTTTTTTTTGACAATCATTTTGAATGGTGAATTTTAAACATCGCGCCGAAATCATTATTGTTTGTTAGGCCATTTGCAATTTCAGACAAATAAAAAATTGGCGTTTTAAAAATTGTGTACAATAAAAATTCGATACATAAGAATTCTGTTAAGTAAAAATTTGTTTAATAAGAAATTTAATGAGCCAAAAGTTTTGAACGTTCAAATGAACAAAATTTTTTTTGTAACTTCTTCAAGTACGAATTTTATTACAAAATATTGTTTTAAATATCTAAAAAGAAGTTATTAATTTAATATTTGTTTAATTTACTGTTTTATTTTACATTGACATTATAATTTCTAATAATTTATAGATTGAAAAAAATATTTTATTCATTTGAACGTTCAAAACTTTTGGCTCATGAAATTTAGTCAAATTCGAAAAGAAAAAATTCATCTAAAAAAAAATTATATCTAATAAAATTCTTTAAAATGAAAATTTTAACTAATAATTTTTATAGGATAATCAGCACCATATTTTTAAATTTACAATTTCGTTATTTCAGTGTATTTTTTCCCATAATAATTTTCTTAATATGACGATTTAATCTGCAAAAAAAAAAAATCTTTTTCTAGACCCAAAAATATCCAATAAATGTGGGATATAATCTTGAAATATCTTTGCAGTTCCATTAAGTGAAGTTATAAGGGACAAAAAGGTCAGAATATATATAATATATAAGAGAGACTCACTCTGTGGTACCAATAAAGTCATGCATGAATCTCCATCCCTTTTCGTTACACACACACACACACAAATGTGAAACGAAGAGTTATTGAAACTGTCTCTAACCTTACGTATAAGGTATAAACTTAACTTATTTAAACCGTGTGAGTTTATATACACGAAAGCGTCAACCTTGATCAAGGTAACTTTACACAAACGATGGTGGATGTTATAGCTGAACTCGCATTCTCACCCTATACTCATTTCATCCCCCGCTTCGAATAATTTTCCGGTGAGCTTTCAACGCCATTATTTGCACGTATATATATATATATATATAGAGAGAGAGAGAGTCAAGACTCGAGACACACTTACCCTGGAGTAACTTTCCGGATAGAATTCTGACTGGGACTCGGTCTCATGGCAGGTGAAACAAGAGCTACCTCTGAAAAAAAAGAAAAACATTTTTTTTTAATTAATTTCAATTTTTTTAAATCAAATTTTAATAACGTAGCATTAATTTTCTAATAATGAAAATCGAAATTTTTAACAAAGGATTAAAATGAAAATGGATTAAAATTTCTCAAACGGATCACTTAAAATTACAAAATTTAATTTTCAATATTTTTGTTTTGTTTTACTGTAATTAAAATTTTCTTAAAATATTAGACCGTAAAATTTTTTTTAGTTAATAGCAATTCAAATTTTTAGCTGCTACACTGAAAAAAAATTTATTTGATTCAAATACTTCAAATTATTTGAAAAATATTTAATTGGTTCAAATACTTTTTATTTCGATCAAAAAAATATGTATTTGATTCAAATAACTTGAATTATTTGAATCGCATTTATTTGAACCAAATAAATCGTAGGTATTTGGTTCAATTAAATAATTAATTGAATTAAATAAATAAATTTATTTAATACAAATAATGAGTTACTTGAAACTATTCATTCATTTATTTAACTCAAATATTTCGTATATTTGATACAAATAAAAAGTATTTGACACAATAAATTTATGTAATTGAGTCAAATAAACTGAATTATTTAATACAAATAATTCATTATTTAATCCTAATACACTATTTCATCAAGACAAATAAAAAAATATTTCAATCGATTAAATATTTATTTGAAACGATAATAATGATTTACTTGAAACAATTAATTTATTTAATTCACTCAAATATTTTGTTTTATTGAAACAAATAAAAAGTATTTGATACAATAAATTTATTAATTCTAATTAATTAAATTATTTAATATAAATAATGCGTTATTCAATGTTAATACACTATTTAATTTAGAAATGGGAGAATTAGTAAATAAATATGTTATTTATTCAATTCAAATTTTGCTTTATTTGAATTAAAAAATTCTTACATTTTATGCAAATAAATTATGTATTTGGATGAAATAAAATAATAATTGCCGCAATTAAAGAGGTTTTAGTTTCAATTAAAACAATTACTTATGACAAATAATCGAATATTTGATTCAAGAAAATTTTTAGTTGTTTCAAGAAAAATATTTTATTAATGCAAATAAATATTTATTTGAATCAAAAAACATGCAGTATTGAATGAAATAATTTTCATAATTGATTCAAATAATTATTTATTAGCTTTGAATATTCCATTTATTTAATTTGAATATTTTGTATTTGATTCAAATAACTATTTATTTGATATGACAAAATAAAATACTTAGGTTTAGTAAATGTGTATTTGGTTCAAATACATATTTATTGGATAATAGATAAGTAAATGATGTATTTGGATCAAATACTTTTTATTTGATCCAAATAAATTTTTTTTTCAGTGTATAATATAAACAAAATTTTCTCGAGGTCTAGTTGATCAATTTAAAAACAAAAAATAGATATTATTAAATTATTATCTAAATAAATAATTATTATTAAATAAATTTAATTTTTTAATTTTTTTACATAAGAAGTAAAGAAAACATTTTTTATTAACATTTTATAAACAATTTTTGGGCTAATATTTTCAGAAAGTTATTTTAATGTGAATTGAAAAACAATTTATTTGATTCAAATAATCGGTTACTTGACTATATTATTAAAAAAATATTTATTTCTATTAAAAAATTTCTATTTGAGTCAATTAAATATGATTTTTTTTCAAATACAGAAATTATTGGTTAAAAAACAATTCATTTATTTCTAATAAAAATTATTTGGTTCCAGTAAATATTTATTTGATAATAGTCAACGTTTATTTGAATCAAATAATTTTTCTTTTTTAGTGTAGGATTAAAAAAATGATATAAAATTAAAAATTAATTATTTATTAGTTTTTGAAAACTTCAGGTTCAAATATTTTCAAATTTCAAAAAATTATTTGATTCAAATAAATATTTATTTGAAAATAGTCAAGTAGGTAACCGATTATTTGAATCAAATAGAATTTCTTTTCCATATAGCAGGCCTCGGATCGACTTTAAGGCACAAAAAAAGTCGTTTTAGTCGATTTATATTCCAAAAATAGTCGAAAAAGTCGATTTTTTTTATTTTAACAAAATTGAATTGGTTAATGAATATTTTACTTTAAATAACTAATGTTAATTAAATTCATTTTATTAATTCCGTAATGAGAATAATTCTTTAAAAATATTATCATGAAAATTTATTTCCAATATTTCACAATTAAACTAATTGTAAGACAAATTTTCAAAATTTTATATAAGTAGAACAAATTTCCAAACAAATTCTTGAAGTTACATTTTTATAATTTTTTGAAGTTTGATTTAAGCAATTTATTCGAATTAAAAATTTTGTCATAGTTTTTAATTTTGATGGTCAAAATAATTTCAGGCAAAAACTTAATCAAATTTTACAGATTTTTTATTAAAAACTTTTTTTTTAAATAATAATAATTTTGGAAGAGTTAAAGTTGAAATTTTTAGAAATTATTGAATTTCAAAAGATTTGGATAATTTTCAGACAATAATTAAATTTTACAAAGCTTTTTGCTTTGTAATTTATAGTTGAATAGTTGAATTTTCGAAGAATATTATAAAAATCATTAAAAATAATTTGATTTCACGAGAGTTATAATTGAAATTATTAAATTTCAAAAAATTTTAGATGGAAATTTTTAGAAATCATTAAATTTTAGAAGATTTTAAATTGAAATTTTTGAAAATAATTAAATTTCAATTGATTTTGAATTGAAATTTTTGAAAATAACTGAAGAATTTATTAGAAATTACACACAAAAATTAAACTTTCAAATTTTTCTCATTGCAAAATGCTTTCAGATAATTGAATTTTCGAAGAATATTAAAAAAAATTTGTTAAAAATAATTAAAATTTTTGCAAATAATTTAATTTCAAGTGATTTTGAATTAAACATTTTTAGTTATTTTATTTGCTAATTTTTTTAAAATTATAAACAATTATTAAATTTCATAAAAATTTTAATTCAAAAATAGTTAAAGATAATTGAATTTGTGAAGAATTTCATTAAAATTATGAAAAATAATTAATTTAGTGAAGAATTTTAGTTAAAAATTTGTTAAATAATTGAAATAAAGAAGATCTAAAGAAGATTTGCATTTTATCCTAAAAAAAAAACGTATTTTGTTATAAAATTTTTAAAAAATATTTTTAAAAAAGTCGAAAAAGTCGCATTTTATTAAAATAAGTCGAAAAAAGTCGTATTTTTTAAAAAAAGTCAGTAAATGTCGAAAAAGTCGTGTAATCCGAGGCCTGTAGTATAGAATTAAAAAAATAACATTGATAATTAATTAGCTTTTGAAAATTTTAAGTTCAAATATTTTCAAATTTCCAAAAAATTATTTGGTTCATATACACATTATTTAATTGAAATAAAAATTATTTGGTTCAATTAAATATTTATTTGAAAATAAAGTAACCGATTATTTTCAAATAAATTTTTTTAGAATTAAAAAAAAATGTAATATTAAAAATTAATTAGCTTTTGAAAATTTTAGGCGATCCGTTCGTGAAATTTTGACGGAAAATCGAAACTGATTATGATATTTTTTTACTCGTACTTTAAATGTTTGTCAAAATTACCTTGGTTATGATGCAAATGACTTTTCCGGTGACATGCATCATAACTCTGGCAAGATCTGGAATGCTCCATTTGTGGACAATGCTTCCCTCCATTTTGATCCGGTTGAAGGGCAGCGCGAGTTCTGGTTTGAACTCCAATTCCACATTTGTTACTGCAATCTGACCATTCGCCCCATTCCGATACAATGCAATCCAAAACTGAAAAAGAAATCATCTAATTATTATTTTGAGAAAAAAAAATTTCAGTAATTTATCATCTGTTCTTTTAAATAATTTTTCTTTCAATTTTATTTCTAATTTCATTTATTTCTATCATAATGAAGAAAAATTAAATTTTCAACAAAAAATTGAGTCAACAAAAAAATAATTTGCTTGTAATATAAAACAGCACACTGAGAAAAATATATATAAAAAAAAAAAAAAAAAAAAATGATGATTAAATATGAAAAAGTACGAGGAAAATATTGTGAGTAGAAATAGAAATGTATGACATTTTAAAGAGCGCATAGAATTTTGTTTAAAAACTAAAAAGGTCTTAAAGTCACTAAACGAGAAATAAAATTATAAAGTACTTCGCAATCTTAGGATCAATTTTCCTTTGAGCAATCGCAGGTCTTTCTGAGAGAATAAAAAAAAAAGAAATAGAAAAATTTATTGCTGGCAACTTTCCACGGATACTATAATTGCAAGCTTCGTTACTTAAGTACTCTAGTGATGTAGTGGAAAAAAATATCACCCAACTACTATATATATACGAGAATACTGCACTTAATTATATAGTTCCTTTTCAGGGTTGTTAACTTTTTCAAAAGTAATAACTTTTTTTTTTATTTTTCCCTTATGAAAAACAAAACAATTTTACATGTCAAATAAAATTCCCCAGCAAAAACATATTTTTCGTGTAAAATTCAGAAATATAATATAACCGACACACTAGTATCACAAAAAAATGTTATTATTAAAAAAAAAAAATTTTTCTCTATTCTTTTTTTTTAGTCTCGTGTTTTTATAACTCCGGATAAATTAAAAGCAAGCAAATGGTTGGGATGGTTCAGAAAAATACGTTTTGATGCAAAAGAGCTTTTTTTCAAGAGGAAAAAGCATTAGAACAAGACAGAAAGATGTGAAGCGGAAGGACAAGATGAACTCGCAGAAATCCTCATGTGGTGTGAGAATAATAAATTATTGAATCATTTGCCCCGTGAAGCAGAAAACCTTTCTTTGTATTGGCGAAAAGGTCTGTTTCCGCAAATGGCAAAAAGCTGAACTTGTTAATTAGTATAGTAAACACTTTTTTTCTATAAACCACTTTTCGCACATTCAGTGATATTCTTAAAATAAAAATTGCATACAATTAAAATAATATATCTTTTCATCTGAATTAACATTTTAAACTTTTTTCAAAAATAAATGTATTTTATATTCATTTGCATCAAAATTAAAAAATTTTCTATTTTATACTTTTTTTAAAATTATTTTTAAAAAAAATTTCTTTGAGACAATTTTATTTTATATGAAAAGAGAGAGAGAGAGAGAGAAATCTTATATTGAATGGGGAGAGATGAAAATGAAGATGGCGAATGATCTTTCGAATAAAACAAAAACTTTGGGAGATGAGCTGATAATGGAGTGAGATTTTCCAACATTGCATTTATCACTTCATTCAAGTACCTATTCCATTTTCTCTTCAAGGAATAATTTCCCATTACAATTCGGAAATTGTCAACACTATATATAATATATACTGAATCTGAAATTTCTCTCGTTTTTAAAACATTATTTAAAATAAAAAAAAAAAGTACATTTTTTTCACAATTTCCGAAGTTAATTTTCCTAAACTCATCGTTAAAAAAAAAACTTTGATCATACATTTAATAAACTTGAGAAAATTAAATCTGATTTTCGTCTTCAGTCTAGAATGAAGAAAAAAGAAAGAAAAATTATTGATGAAAAACTTGTAACGTCAAATCTGAGGAGAAAAATAAAATTTGCGAAAAGAAACAGTAATCGATATAGGTTCACCACGAATGAAAAACAAGCAAGAGCTCCTTGAGCTTTTTCGTGCTTGCAGAGTAAGAGCTTTATCAAGGCCTGTAAATGAGTTATACGTTCGTGCGCTAGAAACGAGAATCAGAAATTATAACTTCTCATTTTAAATATCAAAACATATTTAAAAAGAGAAAAATCCCCAGAAATTGAAGATAAAAACCTTACTTTTTTTCCCAAAAAAAAGAGAGAGAGGGCATGAACTCCCGTGGATATTAAATGTAAATGCAATTTTAATTTTTAAGAGAGATAATTTTTTTATTTCTAATAGTTATTAGTAGTTTATGAGACAAAACAAAATTTCTTTAAATATTCTTTTACTTTTTCTTAATTTTCCCCATTGCAACGAAGATCTTTATATTCTGGTCATGTATTTCCTCTTAGAAACATAACAAAAGCGTACGCGAAACAAAAAAGCGATTTTTCTTATCCCCCACTGTTTAGCTTTTTACTGCGCTAAAAAGAAATTAATTTTCTCCTATGCAAATTTCACCTTTAATGTCATGTAAATTATATTCAAATGAAAACAAAATTGCTGTTTCTTCGCGTTTTTTAAGTTGAGAAAAATATTTTGTTTTGCCAACAAAAAAAAAATATATTTGTACTTTTTAGATTGTTCAAACAAGATTTTTGACAGTCTTAATAAAATTTGACAATTATTACCAATTGTTACCAATTGCTTAAAATTATAAAATATTACAATTCTTGTAAAACAAAATTTTTTTTGGAGAAATTGAGAAAATTTAGTTTCACAAATATTAACTAATTATTGTCAAAGCCAAACATTTATTTATGGTTAAAACAAAAATTTGTTGATTAGAAATAAATTAATAATTTGTTTGACACAAATAAAAATTATTTATGATTTAATAAATATTTACTTGTATCAAATAATTTTCATTTGTTTCAAGTAATTTTTATTTGTAGTAAAAAATTTTTATTTTGAATCAAATAAACCGTATTTAAACCAATAAAATTTAATTGACATAAATAAAAATTATCTGGTTCAATAAATATTTATTTGTATCAAATAATTTTCATTTATTTCAAGTAATTTTTATTTATAGCAAAAAATTTTTATTTTGAATCAAGTAAACTGTATTTAAACCAATAAAATTTAATTGACACAAATAAAAATTATTTGGTTCAATAAATATTTATTTGTATCAAATAATTTTTATTTATTTCAAGTAATTTTTATTTGTATCAAATAATTTTCATTTATTTCAAGTAATTTTTATTTGTTTCAAATAATTTTTATTTGAATTTTTATTTGAGCCAATTAAATTTTATTTGTTTAAATACAATTTATTTGATTCAAATAAATATTTATTGAACTAAATAATTTTTATTTGAATCAAATAAATCGTATTTAAACCAACAAAATTTACATAATTGTCTCAAATAAAAATTATTTGATTATTATTATTATTATTATTACTAAATATATTTATTTGATAATAATCAAGTAACCGATTATTTAATAAATTTTTTTAAAAATCATTTTGTCAAGTATAACGACTAGTCGAAAAAAATTAGAGAAACAAATAAAAAGCGACATTTACGAGAAAGTGATGAAAAAAAAATTTAAGAAGAGTGATATGAAATTTACAGAAAAGTTAGATGAAAAGATATATAAAAGTTTTTTTATATATATACAAGGGCAAAAAAAAAAAAAAAAAAGAAGAACAAGTCGAATCGAAGATTTTCTTTCAAGAAAAATGTTTCTCGAAGTAAAAGGTTTCGACCTTTAGATTCAGAAGGAAATCCCATTGTAGAGTAGATCTCTCTCGACATTATTTTCTTATTTTCTTTCGCACTTGTTCTTCTTTAGAGAATGTTTGCCGGACGAAAGTACATTCTTCATGGAACATGGCGTATGTCCGAAGGGTATATTCTCGAGGATGATCCTCCCTGTTCGCTCTCTTATTTCTTGTATACGCGTTTGCTCACTCCCCCCCCTCTCTCTCTCTCTGCTTACAACCCCTTTTTTTCTATTTTTTTTCAACACGCGGTCATATCCCGTTCACTCTTCTCAACCCATAAATAAACTCAACTTCTTTTCTGCCACCTTTTGAGAAAGAATTTCCCTTGGTGAAAATAAATGTAAAAATCCAACCAATGGATGGGGACCACTTACTTAAGCCATTACCGTTTTCGCGCACACCGTTTTCTTAACAAAAGAGTCGAGTTCACGAATCGTTGCACTTTGTCTATGTATCGAAATTTTTTTTATTTTTTTCCTGCCTTTTTTTGTGATATAAAATTTTCATTTTTTTTTTTTTAAATATATATTCCTTAACTCATAGTTTATGGTGTAATTTTCTAGACCGTAAAATTTCATTTACTGTAATCTCCTTTCTTTCTCTAAGCTCATTTACATTATTTTTGTTTCTTTCTTAAATTTTTATTTTCTCAGTTTACGCTCTCTAAATACGAATTTTCACTAATTTAAACTTTTAACTTTTTTGCTATATGAATTAGAATTAGCAAAAAAAAAAAAAAAAAAAGAAGAGCGAAAAGTTTCACTATAATAGTAAAAATAACTGTTGCTGTTCCAGGTACATTTTTTCGTTTAGAAATTTTTTTTTTAATATTTTGTATATAAAAAAAATATTATAATAAACTATGAAAAATTTGTAAAATTCTTGAATAAACATTATTTTCTAATTTTGTATTTTATTTGGTCAATTAAATTTTTGCTATGCGGATCTATAAACCAAGCATATACAAAAATGTTTCGATTTTACCATAAAGTATATATGGTTTTTTCTTTCCTTATTTTTTTTTTTTACTTCCAGATTGCAAGTTCTGTATACTAATGAAAGTGGTTTATGAGAATCTTTTATTTCGGTAATTTGTGAAAATAAGGGGTATTCCCATTTTATATTCGATTATGCTGTTCCATATAATTTTTACTCTCACAGTATATTTTCAGAGTTAAGAATAAAAAAATAAAAAAAAAAAAAAAAAAAACACCTCATTAGCATAAAAGCTTCAGCAATTTTCTGCTGCGTTCGCCACAACCTTCTTTACTTAGGTCTGCAAACTTACTCTCCGAATATATGCTTTCTCATATTGACATTTTATTTTAAACAACTATTACTATTATATTTACATATTCCAGTCATTAATTAAAATTAATTTCTTTTTTCTTTCTCGCGCATTTTAATAATTTTCATGACTACATAAAAAAAATTTCATATTTCTAATTTGGAAACAGAAATTTATTGAGTTTAATAACTGAGGCGATTTTAATGATACTTTTAAAATAAACTTTTTTATGATTTAAAAAATATATTTTAAACTAACAAATTTTTTGAAATAATTCAAAACATTTTAATTTGATTAATGAAAAAGGAAATTTTACTTGGTATAATTAAATTCCATTAGAAAATTTTTAATTCATTATTTTAAATTCATTATTTAAATTCATTATTTAAATTTAAAATCGATTATTTAAATTTTCTTATGAAAATTAAATTAAAAAATAATAATTTTTAAATAAGTTTAAAATTTTTTAAATTTATCTTTGGAGTAAATACAAATTGAAAATTTTAAATATCGCCAAAGAGAAAGGATAAAAAAAAATAAGAATAATTAAATTGGGAAAATAATTATAAGAAATTACCGTTACAAGCCTCTTTGAAATCATTACAACAATCGTTGAGTTTCAAACAAGCGTGGTCACAATAACACGGAGTGTCACGAGGACTCTCGATTATAGCATTGGGAGATGCTTTTTGAATCACACATCCGGAATCCCGACCCTGGCAACATAATTTCGCAGCTCTGCAACTTCCGGCTGCGGTAAAATCAACCGTCCATGCAATCATTATCATCAAAATCCTCATAAATCGTTTCACCATGATCGTTCACTCGGTTAATTTGAAATACAATTTTTTCGAAATCTTTCTAATTATTTTACGACTCGCATTTATATATATTGTATAAGGATGTCAAAACTCAAAATTACGAACCTCCATCAGTGACCTTGAAAAGATTTCAATAACCTTGAATATTTCTATACAAGAATTAATTTTTTTTTTACAAACAATTTATAAAATTAGAAAATTAAAAAATATAATTTTAAAGAAATTTCAAATAAACTATTTCAAAATAAATTGTCAAAGTATTGATAAGAGAGAAGAATTCTAAACAAGAATTAATTTTTTTTAAAAAACAATTTATAAAATTAGAAAATTAAAAAATATAATTTTAAAGAAATTTCAAATAAACTATTTCAAAATAAATTGTTTTATTATAGAAAAAATTTAATTAAAAAAAATTATTTTCTAATGTAATTTCGAAAGGTAAAAAAAATCTAAGAAGCGATTGTAAAAAATTATTTCAAAATATTCCCAATTATCAATTTTGATTCACAATTGAGAAAAAAGAAAATTTGAATAAAGAAAGTATACCTACAAATTTTTTGTTATCACATTTTTTTTAAAATTCAAAAACAATTTTTTCCTTCTTTTGAAAAGTTATTCACTTTTTTTTCAAAAAAAAAAGGGATTAAAAAGAAATTTTAAATTAAAAATTTCAAATTCAAAATTATTGAGAAATTTGCATTGAAATCTTTTTGTTTTATTCGCTTAATTTGGAGAAACATGATTTTTTTTGTGGTAATGGAAAATTGTAAGATACGGAAACCGAATCAAACAGATTTGAGGAAAACGAACCGGAACGAAACATCTCAGCACAACGTGCTGTAGCAACTAAACTGCCGCAACGGTTTCGCGCCCCTATGAAGGGGATATAACATTGCCCCCAGCGCATGCTCTAAATTCGCAAAAAGAAAAGCGCCGGTAAAATATCAATTTTCTTTAACAAAAATATTCATCTTTTTTGTTTTGAAAAAAAAAATTTATTTTATTTTTTAATTATTTTATTCGCTCGTTAAAATTAATTATACCATAAATTGACGCTATTTAAAAAAAAGGAAAAAAGCGAAACCCTTTTATTTTACATTATAAACAAAAAACTTGCCAATCAATTCCAAAAAAAAAATTACAGCTCTACATTTTTCTTTTCAATTATAGACTAATAATAAAAATTTGTATTTATATTAATTATTATTATAAAAATAATTTAATTAATTAATTCTTAATATAAAATATTAATTAATAGTAATAAATAAGAATAATAAATAATAATAATAATAATAATAATAATAATAATAAAAATAATAATAAAAATAATAGAAACAATATTCACTAATAGAAAAAATTTTTTATATAATTGGCCTAATTAAGGAGAACCACATAAAGGAGAACAACAGCAATTGTCAATGCTTTTGTATGACTATAAGCATACAATAGAAAATAAGCCACATTATAACAATTACTATATATATATATAAATTGCCTATGCTAGCGAATATCATAACCTAAATGAAATATTAATTAAAACCATATTGAAATTTAAAAAAAAAACAAACAAATAAAAATAAAGGAGAAATTGGCAATTTGCAAAAAAAAAGCAGAAATTATATGAGAAGAGCAAAGTGAAAATGTATATTGAAACGATATTATAAAGGTGAAAACCGAGGTATAAAACTTTTACAGAAGATTGTAATTAAAAGTAAAAAAAAAAAATAATAGTTTACAAAACTGAGAGAGCAAATAGTTAAAAGAAACAAACAAGGGGGGAGGAGATGTTTTTCAGTTTTGTTGAAATGTTCGCTCGTGCATGATAATAGCCCCTCCTCATCCACCCACACCCTCCTCCAATGGATGTTTCACGAGCTTTGTTACGACGGTTGTCGTAGGAGCGATAATTAATTGTTGGTCCCGTTTTATTCGTAAATTTAACGACATAGAGCGAAATGCGAGAAGAAATAATAATAATAATCGATAAAACAACGATATTTCAATATACGCAAAAAGACGGTTGGGAAAATTTTACAAAATATATTTTCGTAATCTCAACTTTCGGCAAAATTTTCTCGATATAAGAGAAAACGAGCAATTTTGAAATTCAACAAATTAACTCTCAACTAACACTGTAAATAATGAAATTTAATCAGAAACTTTCCAATTAGTCGCGACATATAAAAGGAAATTAAAAATGTTTTATTAACAATTTTTTTTTGTCCACTTAATGTTCATTAAATTTTATCTATCACATACTATTTTTATTTGTTAATTTATGTTTATTCATAAATATTAATTTTTAGGATAATTTATTTTTTATTTTATTTTTTTTTCTATTTTTATGTTGCGTGAAAATTTTTTTATATAGATTATAAATTAATGTGACGTCGGATAAAAATAGATTCAAGTAGATAAAAATCGACTTCTTGATATAATCACAATTCAAGATTAAAAAATAAATGAGAAAGAACGTAATCATATACGTTCATAATTAAATGAGAGTATAGAAAATTGTATTCTATAGGAAAATACGATTCTTCTTTCTATTGCATATTATAACATGTATATCTATTTCAGTAACTGATTATGCAATTATCTGCTTGATCGCATACAGACAGGAAAAATCTTGTATTAAACAAATTTTATCTATCATAAGTTTTAGCTAAAAAAAAAAATGTTTAAAATAAATTTTCTATCTTTACAAATTATCAAATTTCATTTCATTTATTTTTGATTAATTATTATTAATTATTTTTTAAAACTAATTATTGTTAATTATTATTAACTAATATTATTTTAACTAATTGTTATTAATTACTTTTTGTTTTCAGTAATTAATTTACAATTATTATTCTTAATTAATTGCATACAATGAAATTATTGTTCAATTATCATAATAATTAGCGACAATAAAAAAATGTATACACCAATTTATAAAATTTTATATTTTTTAATAGAATATTTTTAAATTTTTTTCAAAAAGACTTTTTAAAACTGATTTTTTGAACTATCAGTTACTTACTAATTAAATTCCCTATAATTTAATTAATTACCAATTATTAATAAACTAATTAAAAATAATAACCAATTTACTAATTAATCGTATAATTCTGTTATTATTATTAAATAATTAAGTACTAAATTATTTAATATTAAATAAAATAACTTAGTACACTGAAAAAAAATTTATTTAATTCAAATAATCAGTTACTTGACAATTATGAAATAAATATTTACTTGAACTAAATAATTTTTATTTGAATTAAATAATTTATATTTGAATCAATAATTTCTATATTTGAAACAAATACCATTTGATTTAAAAATAATTATTTAGTACAAATAAATATTTGATAATAGTCAAGTAAACGATTAATTGAACCAAATAAGATTTTTTCAGTGTAATCACTTGTCTAATATTTATTTAAATTATTAATTGACTAATTGTAGCTTAATTTAATCAATTTCAATATAAAAAATATATATTAATTATTTTTACAGTCAAGCAAGCGATAAAAATAATTTTTTTTCACTGCTATAAATTATCCAATTATTTAATTATTAATTAATTGACTAATCGCAGCTTAATTTTAATAAAAAAAACATTGATTAACAATTATTTTTGTTATTGGAAAAAGAATGTAAAAATATTAACAAAAATTTAAAAAAAAAGAAATTATTTTTGTAATTAATTTATCCGGGACAGCGCGTACGCAGTCCCGACTAACAAAAATTATACGTCCGAGATATCCACATTAGGGATATTCGCAAGGGTCAGCTCGACCGAAGTGCAATGGAAGAGCCTCGCCCTGGAGGAACCGCCTTGTTGATCACGGTAGCCTCTACGCCAGGTAAGTATGCTTTCAGCTCGTTTGCCTCGCCTTATAAAGGCGCACACCATCATCTCGCAAGCGAGAGAATAAATTTCTAAACGATCGACGTCCCTCTAACAGAAATTTGTCAAACTAATCACTACAGTAACCATAATATGGCGGGGAGAATTTGAATTCACTGAACCGAATCAGTCGGTACAATGCGCGTTGGCAATGTATTATCACTCACACACATACACGTGCGTGTTTTTGGAGAGGAGTCTGAAACAGCTGCTTGTGAATAATGATGATTGACTGTTTGGACTGTTCTCTGCCTCTAGCGAGATTCAAGTTGTTGGTTAAGTACGTCTGTCATTTGTGCTTGAAAGATACATATCATGTATAATTCTGTTACTATATAATATTAACTATTTTGTCAATATTATATTTGCATTTGAATAATGTTTTTTATTTCAAAAAAAAAAAGAAAAGAAATATCGATCTAACTATTTCAATGTAAGTTGGGTTGCCTATCGTAAGGAGCGGAAAAAAGAAGTACATACATAAGAATTTCAAGATATGGGGAAATTTTTGAATTTGAAATCTCGAAAGTTTCGTTGATATTTCTTTCTCTTGAAAAACATTGAAGAAAAAGGGACGAGTAATGCAAATAAGTGAGTGACACTAAAATACGAGGAATAGGATAGGCCGAAAGGTCGTTTCGTACTCAACACCATGAATAATGTATCTGAAATCCTTGTGGCCGATTCAGCAATTCCCATCTACCCGCGTATTTATGCTATACCAACACCTTATCCTATTTTAGCCGGTACTATCCTTTGACTTTTACACTACTCAAGCAAAAATTCTGATGATGATGATATATATCCTGTATGTGCGAGAGCAAACGCAATTTCGCATAGAAAAGTGAAGCGTTGATGAAATTGATAGCAATTTCTATCTTATCCATATACATATATTTTCACGCAAACCTTATTCAAAAAGGGGTTGAGAAGAGAATTTTCTTCATATAATATTGGAAACGCAGTTTCAAAGAAAATGTATATATATATATAGCTTCATTCTCATTTGTTCCCTCATCCTAGATATTGTAAAGGTAACGAAAGGGTTATTAGAAAGTTTAAATCTACTTTCAACTATATAGGAGCATTCCATTAGGAAATCACTTTGATAAATGAACAATTATTTCATTATATAAAATTAAACCGCCAATGAAATTGAAAACAAAAAATGATAAAGAAATTCAAAGCAGAATTAAGAAAATTTTTCTTTTCAAGTAAATCCTAATAAAAAGCAAACGAAATTATTTCTTTCAATTAAACAAATTTTTTTGGGGATGCAGTAATAAAAAAATTTACTTGATTCAGATAATAATATTGAGAGAAAAGGTTTGTTGAGATTACCATTTTTGAGCTGACCATTTTTAGTTAGGATCCTAGAAAATTAAAAAATACTGCGCAGGCTGGACAGGCTATAGAAACTGAGATCGACCAGTGCACATCATTTATGTTGGAAACTTTCTAGGATATTTTAATGAAATATTTCAGCAAAATTACAAGGCAATATTTCCTATAGGCAGACATTTCCCTAATTTCAGCAATATTTCAAGGTCTTCGCATTGGAATATTTCAAAATTTCAATTAAATATTTCAGAAAAATTTAGGAAATATCATGTGTTGTGTGGGTAGTTAATTTTAAAGGTTATGTTATATACAAATTACTGATGTACATAAGTTATTTTCTATTGCTTGTATATTTACTAATTATATTAGTAAATTTCAAAAAATAATTGAAACTTCAGTTAAAATGAAAAGTACTGATTGAATTAGTAAAATTTATACTGATTTAGATTTAGAGTATATACTCTTACTAACAAAATGGTAATCGCAACCAATCATTTCTCTCGGTGCAATTACTTGATTTCAAATAAATATTTATTTGAACCAAAAGTAAGTTTTATTTAAGTCAATTTTTATTTAAATCAAATAAATTTTTTTTCAGTGTTAAAAAAAAATTTCTGAAATTAAGATTATATTTTTGATAAAAAACATATATAGCAACAATGTTTTCTCTTTCCATATAAAAATTCATAGGTTATATACATAAAAAATATTATGTTGCAAAAGATTATTTACTTTGGTTCTTTGTGAACTGAAATTAATCCACTACCTACTTGAAAAGTGTGGGGGAGGGCTTATGCGAATGGAAAATTAAATTTAGTCGCGTCTACTGCGAACTAGAGTCTGCTCTTTCTGCGGTTTTCATTGTGTGTATATTTTTCCTGTTTACTTTTTTTTATTTATTTATTTTTTATTTTTTTGAAAGTAGAAAGCCCCGTTTCCCACATTTTTGTGAGCTCGACTTTTTCATAAAGTGTCTAGTTTCAAATGTTTTTTGTATATATATATATAGTAAAAATGTTGAGTCGCAATATCACCTCACATATACGAAATATACGATTTTTAAAAATGTATACGAGATTTTTAATTTATGACATTGCACAATCATATATAGAATTTTTTAATTTCAATTATATACTAGGTATAATATTTATTTTTTTTAAATCTTTTATAGCAAAAATTTCATTATTTGTAACAATGCGCGACTAAAATACAATGGCATTTAAAATTTATGAAATAAAAGACAGGAGTAGAGCAACAATATCGAAAAAAAAATAAACAACTTTTTTTATATTGATTATTTATTTATATTATTATTACTTTTTAAAATGGAAATTGATTAAAATTTTGTAAATATTATTATGTGAATAAAATTTCTTTTCCATATAATTAGTTGATTTGTGGAGGAATAAGGAATTAATTAAAAGCAAATAATCACTAAAATTCTGAGTAACGCGAATTAAAAATCTCGTAAAGATTTGAAAAAAAAAACCGAAATCGACTATAATTGAAATACCCCGAATGAATTTTATCGGTGCGCAAGCTGCTGTTATACATTGAATGTAATTAGCGAAATGTCTAATGACATTTTATTGGTTTCACACGATGTTCGAGATAATAGTTTTTAAATTCTATGGGGAAAAAACTATGTGATTGTGAAATTAGTTTTAATTAAATTTTTTTTTTCACATTCGCATGAAAATTTGATTGTATCTAAAAAAGAATTTTAATTGTGGTATGGAAAATTTTAATAATATTTCCGATTTTTATATGAAATTACGTCACATATAATTTGCGTCTAAGGAAGGTGAAAATAAAGGGAATATTAGGGTTTGTCAAGTCAGCTGAAAAGGATTAATTATATGAGGAAGTCTAGGATAATTCTAATGACGACGCGCGTCCTTAATGAAACAAGCAGCCGGTGTTCTATTTAATGTTTAATGAGATATCATTTGCGAGAGATCGTCTATTTGCCAAATTATATACAAAGTGGAAACAGTTTCATTGGCACACAATTTTCCTCAAATGCAAATTTATATACCACAAAATTTACTAACTTCCTATAGAAATTATAAAGATTATGTGCTAAACAAGAAAAATATTTTTTAAATATTTTATTAAATTTTTTTTCTATTAAAAAAAAATGGTTCTATCAAAAAAGAGGAAATTAATAAAACTACTTTATGAAAGTATAAAGTAATTGTGTAATAAAAAAAGGATATAAATATATAAGTAAAACTAAAGCATTGGGGCATAAAAAATTTCAAAAGAAGGGTGTCAAAAGTTTTGTAATATGAAACTTTGGCTTGATTCTATCAAGGATGAAGTACTGTGAACTTGGTTTTAAGCTCTCTTGTGCATTCATAAATGCTGATTTTCTCTTTGATGATAAGCTGTGTCAAATATCGTGTAATAAGATATTTTTTTTATCAAAAATGCAGTGTATATGAAAACTATAAATAAGGCTTATGGATAAATTTGTTTGATTCAAAGAAATAAAATCAATGCTTTTTGTTTCTTACTTAGAAACTATTTCCTTAATTAAAGAAAGAATTTTTGATTTTTACTTAGGACGCATGATTATGTTCTAAAAATCATTAGTCAAATTTACATTTTATCGAATTTTATTTGTTCTAATTAGTTTTGAGCCGAATTTTTATTTGTTCGAAATAGCATTTTGCATAATAATTTACATCAAAGCGATTTTCTATATTACAGAATTTTTATATAACCGAAAATTCACTTCACAGAATTTTTATTTCTTCGAATTTTTATTTGCTCGAATTTTCATTTAACATAATAATAGGCATTTTAAAGAATTTTTATTGGATAGAATTTCATTGAATAGAATTTTCATTCAGATGAATTTTCATTTGTTTGAATTATTATTTGATATAATTTCCATATAATCGATTTTTCATACTACATAGAATTTTTACTTAACCGAAAAATCATTTAATAGAATTTCTAATTGATAGAATTTTCATTTATCCGAATTTTCAAATGGCCAAACAAATAATCGACAGAAATATTTCAGCGCGATTTTTAAAATCAACCAATCAAAAATTATCCATAAAATTGTGATTGGTTAATTTTAAAAATCGCGCCGAAATCTTTCTGTCGATTATTTGTTCGGCCATTTGAAAATTCGGATAAATGAAAATTCTATCAATTAGAGATTCTATTAAATGATTTTTCGGTTAAGTAAAAATTCTATGTAGTATGAAAAATCAATTATATGGAAATTATATCAAAAAATAATTCGAACAAATGAAAATTCTATTCAATGAAATTCTACCCCATAAAAATTCTTTAAAATGCCTATTATGTTAAATGAAAATTCGAGCAAATAAAAATTATGACAAATAAAAATTCGAAGAAATAAAAATTCTGTGAAGTGAATTTTCGGTTATATAAAAATTCTGTAATATAGAAAATCGCTTTGATGTAAATTATTATGCAAAATGCTATTTCGAACAAATAAAAATTCGGCTCAAAACTAATTAGGACAAATAAAATTCGATAAAATGTAAATTATGACTAATGATTTTTAGAACATAATCATGCGTCCCTTTTACTTTTAAATTCCATTTTCTTTAGAATAATTCATTTTAAAAAATTTCTAAATAAAAATTAAGGGAAAAAGTTAATCAACTTACAATGAAATTTATACCAAATCTCCTCCAGAAGTAGCTCTGCAACAAACACCATTTCTTGAAGTAGCAAACACCTAGAAAAAAAAACAATTAACATACTTATTTTTCATAATAAAATATTTTGATAAAATTTAATAACTTCAAAATATCCGGAAAAATTATAAAAAAAAGAAGATGAAATTGAAAGAATTAAAAAAAAAAAGATGACAAATTGTTTTCAAAGTAATTTACGCAAGTACTTGCGATAATTAAACGTCCGATGGTTAATTTGATTAGCAAATACGCTATTTAAATAAAATTTAACTTCAGACATGATTTCAGGAACGAAATGCTATATATGCTATGGAGGCGATGCCTTGAGGCTCTATATAAAAGCAGTAAAACCATTTTATCTCGTTCTTGCTTTCTGCAAACCATCCTTTTCCATCCTCATCCGAGCACATCTTTCTTTACAAAAATTCTCTCTCGCTTACTCAACAAAATTCACGTCACTGCGAAAATTACACCGCGCGCACGAAACACGTTTTTCCCCAAACACGGAAAAAAGTCAAGTATCGCATCATTCTACGTTCGACAACTATATGTCTAGACTTGAACAAATTAGAAAAATGTCAATTTCTTATATTTTATGCGAATTATAATTTTTTATTTAGCTGTCGACAAAATATTTTCATTTATTATACAAAAAAAAAAAAAAACCAGAAGAAACCGAAAGATAAAAGAAATAATAAAATAAAGAAAAATATTGTCTATATTTTTTAATGCGAAAATCATTTTCTCTCGATAAATAGAAACTTTAATTAGTCTATTTGAATTTCATCGAACTTTCGTTTATCCCGAGGCTATTTTCCTGGTATAACTAAAGCATATTTTGAATATTGCATATATATGTAATTATTTATTGATCACATTCATATTCATGGAATATTAATTAACCGTTTGTTAATTAGTTTCTTTAACTGATTTTTAGAAACTTATAAAAGTCAATATTATTGAGAAAAATGCAAATTGCATTTTCCATTCTTTGAATACTTTATTCGTAATTATTAAAATTTTGCCATTGAATAATTATTAATTAACTATAATAATTAATATTTAATAATTAATTAATCTTACACAAAATTTGCACTAACTATGCTCCATAAAAAAATGATTAAATGCATATAAAAAATTTTACTCTGCAATTAAAGCAATGAAAGAAAATGCAGGAAAAATATATGAATCTAATGAAGAATGAACAAACAAAAAAAAAAAATTGTCACTCCATAATTTTTTCCTGTAATAATTCATTTTCCGTGGGTACAATTTTTTTTTACATACACGCACTCAATTCCAGTATATATATACATTGGGCTTTAGAATTATGACATTGTACATTGATTCATTGAAGTTGATAACCAACTGAAACAATGCTTTAATTAATAGTTTGTTAATTAAACTTTTTATAAAGTGCCTCTGGCTCCAGTTTAAAAAAATGAAAAGGAAAAAAATACACATTTTTATGAAACTCAATATTCGCTTTACAATTTAAAAAAAATATTTTTTTTTCCTAAATAAAAATTTTAAATACAAAAATTGAACAATCAAAAAAAAAATAATAATAATTCACGTAACCTTATTTTATAATTAAAATAAAAATGAAAAAATTTATAAAAAAATATTAATTATTTCGTATTCTTAAAGAATTATAACGAACGTTATAAATTTACCAAATAATTAATATGCAATTCGAAATTAAAAAATAATAAATTAATAAAAATTAAAATCTCCTTTTCCGTTTAAATCGAAATCCTGCGCGAGAGGGACTTTTAAATCAACATATCTTTAAAAACACATAAGAAATTTGTTGGAAATATAAATTTTTCCACTTCACGTGAACATTTGATTAAAGATTTTCTCTAGTGGTTTTCAGAAGATTGCTAACAAATTATATTTCTTAAGAATAAAAAAAAAATTGCAATCAATTTAAAAAAAAAATCCACATTCATTGAAGCTTATTTTATTTACAGTTCAATTCAAATATAAATTCTTTTCAAATGTGTTTTTTTTCCCTTGCCTCGAGCTGAGGGGGGGGAGGGGACATTGTCAGAGAGCAATATTCAAGCTCTATAAAGCCCGCGTAAAGTTTTCGAACGATGATATGAAAATGTAAATTGTGCATTTAGAAAAGCAGTGAATGCGCGCGAAAGTAGTCGAGCTATAAAAACGAAGCAGCGTGAATTATTATTTTGCCAGGATTGGAAAGCCTCACAGCTTTTTTTTTTGTTTTTTAAAAAAAAGAGCATCAGAGAAATCTTTGTTGGCCTCGGCTGAAAACCATTTTAACGGGGGATTTTTAGATATATCCTTTTTTTTTAATTCTATTTTTTTGCGGTCGTGGAACATTGTTGTAAATGTATATATGCGTACGTGATTGTATATAATATATATACATATAGTGAAAAGTGTGATTATCAATTGTTCGTGCCGGTGCGCGGAAAATGTTCGAAAAATTTAATTAACTAACACGTAGACACCGCAAGCCAATCGGAAAATGTTTGATTAACGCTAAATATTTGATTCACTGAAAAAAAATATCTCGTTTTCCATCAAACATACATAGCACAATTAAACTATTATTTAAAAATCATGTCTACTATTTTTCTAGTATTTTTTTTTTTTTTTATTTAATAAATTACAAAAATTCTCTAAATATTTTAATTAGTTAAAAATAACTAATTGATAATGTAATCTTGACAGATTTTTGGTTTCATCAATTAGTAAAAAATAAATAATTACAGTGAAAATCATGTATATCGGATTTCAAAGTATCGGAAAAAAATCCTATGTAAGCGGGAATCATTTAAAATTATAAAAAATTACCGACATAGAAATCTACCTTACCGACCGTTGGTAAAAAATTTTTTTTTAGAAATTCTTCAAAAAATTACCATCAGTCGGTAATGTAGATTTCTGTGTCGGTAATTTTTTGTTTTTATTTTAACATATAAAAATGTAATCTGATGGATTATTATCAATAAATTCCATAAATACGTGTATTTTTTATATATTTTTTCCTATTTAAACAATTGGCGCATAGTAGAGAATAAATTTGAATAAAAAATCCGATATATAGAAGAAAAAATTAACTCAGAGGGTCTAAAAATTGAACCGATGTAAGCGAGACTTTTTGCTAACGAATTAGTTATTTTTAATTAATTTAGAGTTTTATAATAAATAAAATAAAATAATAGTAAAAAATGGTAAAACTTAAATGAATAAAATAATTAATTATCATTTAAAGACAATAAATTTGATAACAATTAATATCAATTAATTTAACACTAATTAAATCCAAAGTTAACAAAATGAATTATTATCAAAGAGATTATATATTGAACTGCGGTCCCTTATTACTAACCTAATTATAATTGATTTTTCTAGTAAATTAAATTAATCACACTATATATTTAATTATAATTAATTATCATCTCATTCAATCGTTTTAAAGTATATATAATCTCGTCAATAACATGTTAGTTAAATGAACAATTTTTGAACATATTGCAAACGAGTGAGAAATTAATTAATGTGTATTGAAAAGTTTTAATTATCGGTTTGTTTTCATTTGAGTAAAATAATTTTCATTCTTTTGTTTTACAATCCAAAAGACACAATTGGATTACTGCGCGACCGAGTTTCGTATTCAGAGAAAGCTTCAATTTGGTTTTTACTTGCCACGTTTTTGTATATAAAGTTCAAAGAGGGAGAGAAAATGAGAGGGAGCGAGTAGGAAAAGAGAATAGTGTCCCGGAAGAAAGGGAGGAGAAAAACTGATTGTCAGATTGGCAATTAGTCCTTTTATCAGCAACTCTTGAAAGTGCAATTGCAGAATTCAATATAAAATTTCCAATCACATTTTTACATTTTCAGTATGAAAATTATGTTAATAATATAGACAAAGGAATAAATTAACAAGTTCTTTCAATGTCAGAGAATTAACTTTATATAAATGAAAAGTTAATTAATAAGAAAACAGAATTTCCTTAACTTGGATTCGGATGTTGTATAATAGATTTTTTTCCCCTATATATAGTGTTTACCTATCTAATTCCCAGGATGGAAACAAATTGTTAAAATGTCGTCAGAATGAGATCGACTTTTGTATACACCTATCAGTAAAATGGTTTTTGGATTTGCAGAGCAGCGTTTAATTGAATTGAGAGATCGGTCGAGATTGCGCGCCACAAATCAGCAAAGTCGATTTTCCTCTCGTACCCCCTCTAAAAGAAACGACAAGTCCGCAGAATAAATTCCACTTTTCATTAGTCGTTTTTGTATCCAGAACAGCCGGTGCTTGACATTTCGAAAATATATTTTTCTGGGTCACCTTCATTTTCAATATCTCTTTCTCTCTTTTGGAAAAAAAAATAATATATCAATTTCAAAAATATTTAAAGTTAAAAAAATTGATTTACTTTTTAATTTCATAAAAAAAAATATTAGGAAAAAAAATATACCAAAAAACGCTATATGAACTATTTATAGTTCTAAAAACGGATGTAGAGGATGTTTTTCTTTTTTTTTTGCTGAGAATATTCCGGTCATCGAGCTTGAATGTAAAATTTCGCAATGTCCAGAAAGTATCGACGATATTGAACTAGGCTTTAATGTTGGCTATATGGGGGACTTTTATCCTGGTCCGGAAACGCAGGTCTCCTACCTATTATCGTAATTTTCCAACTCGGGGAAATCTGGACCAGGAAACCAGTTTTCCCTCCGCACTTCCTTCCCCAAAAAAGGAATATCGTCTCTCTCGCAAAGCGGGTGCAATGCACTTGGATTGTGGCCAAATAGACTCGATGGAATAAAAAGTATATTATGGAAACGATAACCGTAATTAAGTCTAAGATCTTTTTCGAAAATCTTATTATGGTACCGAGAGTTGCTTGCGTTTTCTAACAATGGAAAAGAAAAAAAAAACCCCTTTCCATTCTTGGCGAAATGCACCAGAATTTATTAAAAATTGTTTCATTTCTATTTCAATTCTTATGATTTATTTATATTCAAGTCCTTTTTAAATATTCATTGTTTG